AATATAACTTCCCAAGATAGCTCTATATATATATATATGATACTTTAGTATATGTTTTCGTTATTTTCTACTTTCCCAAGATCTCTATGCTCGTCTTCAGGAGGCCTGGAGATTTCTCAGCACTTCATGAAGACGAGAACCACGGTGTTTTTCAGTCGCCTCTGCAAAAAGTGGAGGATTTCGCCCATGGTTTCATGGTGCATTTCAGCGATTTAGCCTGTAAATTGACATAGATGTGGAACATCAACCATGTCCAAACTATTTTCCTTGAGAAACCCTGGGTTTTCCACATCTATATATGTTAGTAACCCCCCTAGGGTAATGGTAGTTTACACGAGGACTTACAGGTTATTTCAAAGCGCAGTTTACATGGTGGACGCCCATGATTTAATCGACTGGAAAATGAATGAAATCGATTGTTGGCAACAGTTGTAGGTTACTTGATAATAATTGGTCTGGTTGGTGGTATACCTACCCTTGTGAAAAATATTAATCAGTTGGGATTACTATTCCCAATATATGGAAAAATAGAAAATGTTCCAAACCACCAACCAGTGGTAGTTTGTAGTGGGGATCAACCGTCGTTTGACGCGACAATTTCAAACATGGGAATGCTGAAGCAAGAATACTTCCCAGTTGTGACCTTCTGGTTCCAGCAATCTGCCCTGACTCCTTGGAAAATGCACCAGAGCATGGATCTGTATATCATTTTCCCTATAAAGCATGGACACCGTGAAGTGCTGGACCGGGTTGAAATATCAGAGATTGGTGATATCCAAAGTGAGATGTACCCTGTACGCAAAATACACATCATATTAAACACCACTTTACTAGCAATATATATATATATATATCTACCATATGAACACCTTTGTTGTAAGCGCCCGAATTTCCGCATCGCCTTGAAGGGCTCAGGCGGAAGGGAAAACCTCCGAGGTCACGTAAAGGGTTTTGCTCCGGAAAAGAATTGGTTGATACCCTCTGATAATGGGATTTAATGGTGGTTTAATGGTGATTTAATGGTGATTTTATGGTGGTTTAATGGGATTTACCCTCTGGTAAACTAACATAACTATGGAAAATCAACATGTTGAATGTGCAAATCAACTATTTCGAGTGGGCCATTTTCAATAGCTACGTTAAATTACCGGAGGGTAACTCCAATAAAAAGTTATATATAATGGCGACAATGGGTATAGCAATAGTTACGATAGTTATGTAGAGTGGTTATATGTAAAGTTGTTATTTGTGTTTGTCATTTTTCGAACTAGAGGGCGCCGCCTTGTGTGTACCTTAACCATCCTAGACCCTCAGTTGACCACCGAAAATGGGTCTGTGTATATGTGTGTGGGTGTAAAAGTTTGTAGTTGATCTATCATCATGTCATATCATTTCTCTATATAGATAATATCTCACCTCTCTTGGCTTCTGTCCCATGTTTGAAGTTGCCATGGTCCAGATATAGCAAATCACGTTGCACCAAAGTTTCTCCCAATGTCCGATGGACCGCTACATGCCAATGTTTGCTGAAGCCCCTGATCTTAGATACCTTCAATGTAGGGCCCCCTAGTTGTAAGAAAAATTGTGGTTGCTGTTCCCTGTGCGTGAGACATTCCTCACAACATACAATTCTGGCACATGATTGATTGTGTATGTGACCAATGGGACAATCATGAGTGTTGTTTCACAGTAGGCACAAGGCGATGTTGTGCATCATAAGTTCCTCTGGGCATTGATGCATTGGCTGCGAACTTCGGTAAATTCAGTGAATCCTCCTAGGAGTGCAGCAGAATGGCGCAGATGCTGAGGTTCATTCAATGGGCCCATGTGATGCATCGGCATGTCGAGATGATGCAAGCTTGTGCACAAGGCTGCATTGGCGAGATTTCCTGGGTCATTCATGAAGTTGTACGTAGCCTTGACGTAGTCATACACTGTGTCATTCATCAAGACTTCAAGGATAATCTGTGTTTCCTGGACCTGTGTCATCAGGGAGTCACTTCCACTGAGTTGGTATGTAAACCCCATTAACTATACTTCTATTTACTATATCCCATAGTTATTGGAGTTATAAACCAACCTAGTTTTCTAGTATCTAGGGGGCCTCACATTGTTGAAAAACAATAGCAACTATGGCTTCGAATTAAATAACTATACCTCGGCAGTGATAGATGAAAAATCACACATTAAACATCATTAAACAATATTATCAATGGATTGGTTTAAGGAAAACATGCAGGAAAATACAATATTTAATGGGACAATTTTTGGTTTCTTGTAGATGTTCCTTTACACCCATCCATTGATATTAAGCTACCCTTGATAAAGGCTTCCACTACCATACAGAGCATACTGAGGCACAACTTTCGATTTTCTGGCGCAGAAAATGCCGGCAAGATCAGAAAACTTGACGAAATTCAATAGCCAATGACTGGATTTGCTTAAGTTCCCCCCCCAAAAAAAATATGGATTCCCCAAATGGTATATTTGTTCATTGGGAACTAAACAATATTAAACAATAACCTTCAAAAAACCCATGCCACTCAGTCCCCGCAACACACAGCCATTGCATACTGGATCCCCTAGACACGCACTGCTGCCAGAGCCAAATCTTCAAAGTCATTTGCGTACAGTTATCTTAACAGTTATAACATGTTGTAGCTGATGCATGACCTCATTCAACTGAAATATACTTCTACTTGCAGGAGTTATAGCCCGAGTTAAACTGTCAAGGATCAAAACTCTACGGGTTGTTCCTGCTTCAACCATGTTAAACCCGCGTTTTTGTTATTGGGTTATGTACCCAAATATCCTATCATTTTGTTATACCTGTCCATTATGGGAAATGTCCCGGTTTGTCCTTGATTCTATCTTTTGATGGTTTTTTAATTCTATCTTTTAGTGGGTCAATCCGATTTTGGTTGCTTAAATTTTGCTGTCTGCTCATAAGCTTCCAAAATACCGTTGGCAACCACCCGTCAACACATGTCAGCACTCTGCCTGGGCTCAAAACAACTCGAACGCCTGGGACATCTACAAGGGGCTGCCCCGTAAGCTATGTTGTTTTATAACTCCAATGACTTAGGCTTATGGTAGATATATGTATATAGATACAACTAGAGTTTTTTCAAGGGACATTGATGGGTTTACAAATCATTTTGTTGAATATGACTTTGGCATTCACATAGTACACACCAATATGGGGTCTTTATTCATTTTTTCGAAGGGGTTTATGAATCATAGTTTTTCATATTAAACCCATTATAATGATGATTATGTATATTAAATCAATGGCCACTTTAGGTGCCCAAAAATGAGGTACCTACCATATTTAAGGCCTAGTTTTTAGGTCTATGTAAGAGGATATACACCCAATTTCTATGGTTTCTAAAATGGTACGGTACCTCCATTTTAGATCCTGAATTTCCCATTGATTAAAGGGGATAGACCTGTGGAACTCCACATGATATTGTGGATAGCTAAAGTCTATTTGTATATCTAAAGCTCCACGCAGGGTAATTCCCCCCCAGTTACAAGTGATTTGTAAAGCCATTCGACTTTAATTCGGCGTTGGTAATTTGACATAGCTACGGTAAATCTCCACTTTTAAGACGAACACTATTTATCAATGGGCCATTTGCCAAAGCTATATCAAGTACTGGAGGGTATATCTATCAAACACCCAACTTCTTGGAGCTAGTCAAAATATTTGTTCTTCTCAAAAAATGGGGACGTGTCCATGCAACCAACAATTGTCAAACGACACCTAAATAAAACTGGTGCTACCGTCTTCGCATCCCCAAATGCCTGCACTGCAATTAATGCCACTCAAGTTGGCAACAAACACGCACTGGACTAGTTTCAAGAATTGGAGCTGGTTGTACCAAGTATGGTGAATGGGTTTATATAGATATATAAACCAACAACCAGTTCACTGGGGGGGCTTACCCTTTTGGATCAGGACGCGCCTTGGATCGAACGAGGGTAACGAGAGGGGGCTCCTGGAGCGAGTTTGAGGGGAACAGTATGGGCAATGGCCATAAATCCAACCTTTTTGGGAGAAACATCATTCGAAAGCATCACTTTTTGTTGCTGATATGGCCTATCTTCATTGATTGGTTCATTCCAATCCCAATCAGAAATCGTTGAAGCGTCCCTCCTAACATAGACCCTGTCAAAAAAGGGGGTTGGAAGAAGAGTTTCCAACATGAGCAAATCTCAGCGCTAAGGTGGACCCACACGGACCCACTCCTGGGATCAAAGGAGGACGCGCTTTTTCGAGGACTCGGCGGAAACCGGGGGAAACCCCAAGAAGATCAGGTTTTGACACTTTCGATCCTCAGGTATTCCCTCAAGATTCTTGGTCCATGTTCAAGCCTCAATCGTGGGATTGAAATCTTTACGGTCGATTCACTGTAAGTACACCCTACTGTAAAGCTCGAGGATGTAAGATATTCACAAACATGGATCCAAACAAGTTGGTTTGATGATTATAAGTCTCACATTGTGTCGAGGCTATGATCAAGAATTCTTCTATAGTCCGAAATAGGTGTAAACCCGTATTAAAGCATGGATTATTGAAAGTGTTTAATTGCGGGGATGATCTTAGCTGATAGCACGATGACACCATGGCATTGTAATGATATGATGGAGCCTCCCCTTTCAGTTGCGTATCATCTAACCATAGTGATACAGCCACCCCCAACAATGAACCTTATAGATTCTTATAGTCGAGGATATCAATAGTTACTTCTAAAATCTCAACTTTTCACCCCATGAATATTCATAATATAGTCTTACTGGTGCTTAGTAGCGAATTTTCGGGAATGATCCACAATAGCTATTAATAACAATCCCGGCAACCCCCAGCAACCCATCCATTCCCTACATTTAGCACCAGTAAGTAGTATACTACAGTTATAAGATGTTATAAGCACCATAAACATCCACAAACCATAGTGAAATTCCACGCCTTGAGCCTGCCGCATCAGAGTCTGAGCCTAAACGCACGATTTGTGAACCAAGGCCAGTTATGGCATGGCCATGGGAAAATCCAGGGAAAACCCATTGGAAAACGGTGATTTAACCAAGAACAATGGGAGATTTGATGGAATTTATATACAGCTGAGTAAGGCCCTTAACCATGATTTATCAACGACGATATCCCAATTTCGAATTGCAACTGCAGTTATAGCCCTTTTCACACTTATACCCGGCTCAGAAAACATAATTTAAGTGATGTTTTTCACCTTAGTTGCAAGAATTATGTGTATATATATATATATATATATTTGCATTCCCATTTGCAATTGTTAAAAGCCATAACTGTGGGTCAAGACTGAATGATGATTAGTGACTGGTGTGCACAACGTTTAACTTAAAACAATGCTTGTGACCATTTGATGCTTGGATTCATTATATAAGCAACAAAAAATGATCAAACAAGACAAATTAATGAAGTAAATGATCATTAAATGGGACATAACAGTAACACCTGAAGTCCAATTTCTATGTTTTTTTTGTTTCGTTCCTTTCACCCATTCTTCGGAAGCATTCAGACATCATTCATCCGAGGGTTGACCGAGATTTGGACTTGATTTAAAAAAAACTGTATCATGTTTGATACTACGAGACACCAATACATATTGTTTGTTGAAACTATCATTTGTTTGGTTGTTTAATATCCATCGATCTATCTATTTGTCCGTCTGTCTGTCTGTGTGTCTGCATGTCTGTCTATCTATCTATGCTATCCAATCTAATCTAATCTAATCAAATCCAATCTATTCTATCTATCTAACTATCTATATATCTATCGATTTATCTATCTATCTGTCTACCTACATCTAGCTATCTATTCTATCTATTCTATCTATTCTATCTATTCTATCTATTCTATCTATTCTATCTATTCTATCTATTCTATCTATTCTATCTATTCTATCTATTCTATCTATTCTATCTATTCTATCTATCTATCTTTCTATCTATCTATGTATCTATGTATCTATGTATCTATCTATCTATCTATTTATATATCTATCTATTTGCCTATCTATCTAATCTATCTGATCTATCTTATCTATCGTATCTATTGTCTCTATCTTACCTACCGTATCTATCTTACCTATATTACCTATCTTATCTATCTATCTTTCTTTCTATCTATCCATCCATCTATCTATCTATATATCTATCTACCCATCCATCTATCGATCTTTCTATCTTTCTAATCTAACTATAATATATATATATATATATATCATTCTATCTATCTATCTATCTATCTGCTTTATCTTATCTTATTTTATATTAGCTTTTCTTATCTATCTTGAATATCTTGTCTATATTAACTATCTCAACTATCTTATCTATATTATCTATCTTATCTATCTTTTCTATTTTATCTATCTTATCTGTCTTATCTATCGTATCTATCTTATTTATCTTATCTATCTGAATCTATCTTATCTATCTTATCCACCTTGTCCATTTATTCAGCTATCCACCTACCTATCCACCTATCTACCCATCTACCCATCTACCCATCAACCTATCTATCTCTCTACCTATCTATCTATCTATCTATCCATCTTTCTCTCTATCTATCTATCTATCTATCTTTCTATCTATCTATCTATTTATCTATCTATCTATCTATCTTTCTATCCTATATTAAATTATATCATATAAAATTAAATTATTATATATTATCTATCTATCTATCTATCTATCTATTTATCTATCTAATCTATCTAATCTATCTAATCTATCTAATCTATCTAATCTATCTAATCCATCTAATCGATCTAACCTATCTAATCATTCTAATCAATCTAATCAATCCTATCTACCTATCTATCTATCTAATCTATTCTAATCCAATCCAATCTAATCGAATCTAATCTAATCTATTTATCTATCTATCTATCTATATACCTACATCTTTCTAGTTATCTATCCAAATACCTATGGTATGGTACAGTATCATTATCATTTATCTCATTTATCTATCTGTGTATATGTGGGGGTTGTTTCATGTTTTTTGCCCGAAAGTGGCTCTTGGGCCGGTCTTAGGCGAACTTTGCGCAAGATATGCGCGACCACAGTTCCATCTGAGTTTTGGTTGCGCATGTTTTCGTGTCCCGTTTTAGTGCTCCTTTCGTGTAGTTTCCTACCTGTCTGCGCGTCTGCAAGTCCGTGTATCTTCTTATCTTTTTACCTATTTACACAGTGTATATCCATGTGCATGTTTGTGTTTTTGACAGGGCGACATGGACTATGGGTCAACTTTGGACCTGAAGCCTCTTTGGCTGGATTGTTACTTATTGTTAATTTGCAGCTTTGTTTGCCTACATACCGGGGGGACTTCAGCACAGAACCTGCATGAGACTGCCAGTGCGATAAACAAAAATCAGATGCAGAATTGCTAAGCATACAAAATTGTGTGGAAGAAAAATATAATTATCATAATAATATGGTTGTGAGTTAAAATTGTGTATGGAACGTTCCGCGCTGTTCCGGACGTATGGAACGAAGGGGCTTCGTAACTGGTCTTGTTCCGGACCTTTGGAATGTGATGAAATATAGGCTCTACATCAAAAGAAATATATATATATATATGTATGCTGTATACTTGTATATAATATACATCTCAAGGATTTGCACGTTGAAGCTACTCACGCTGGCTGCCGCTCATTTTCACTTCTCATCTGCGCGGCATCCTTGTTGTACAACTGTTCAACGCAGGTTTGCCTTGCATGGCTAGTGCTCGTGCACTAGCTAGGACACAGCCCGTAGCCAGCGTCACCCACTGGCTACTATGCAGTACACCGCTGCTCCGGCTCTTTGGCGAACATTTGTCCCAGTGCCGGAAATGAAAGATCCAAAGGGTCGAAAAAGTTACGTTCCTCCAGATCAATTCCCTGTTGAATGGCCGAAGCTGGAGCCTCGAAACGGTGGCACGCCAGCAACCACCTCATAAAATGTGATAGCCGCGGCCCACACGTCAACAGGTCGACCTTGGTATATCTGCGCACTTTGGCGCACCCCTGGCACGGATGGCAAAGCTTCTGGCGCCAGGTTCGTCAATGAGCCTGCGAAATCCTGATGGAATTCGTTGGGGCCACTGCGGCAAGCAGACCCAAAGTCTGCGAGGCGAAGCGTCAAGCTCTCCGTCAACAGAATGTTAGGTGCTTGGATGTCGCGGTGGATGACAACACACCGATGAACATGAGCGAGGGCTGACCTCACAGAAGATCAACGAACAATTTGTTGCTGGACAAAAGGGCACAGATCAAAGCTGACATCTAACTCATCGGCGGACATGGAACAGCATGGGACACCAAGTATTGCTCCCAACTCTTCCTGAAACCTCGTGCCTCAACAAACTTCAGGAATTCAGGTGACTATATAAATTGGATAAAGCAATGATAAAGGACACATGAAGGATACAGATGATCCAGATGATGCAACTGATACAGATGTTGCAGATGATGCTGCCAGGCAACAAGGGCTGCTCCCCAACTCTGTGGCGGAACTTCAAGTGCTGACCTGCGCCTTTGCGTTGCTGGATTTGGCCAGCCAGGGTGCCGCCAGCGCAAAGTTCCATGCGCATCTCGCAGTCAGTCCACCTCAGATGTGCAAACCAATTCATGCAGGGGCTTCACTGAGAGACTTTACACATGGGAACAAAGTAGGAAACGATGGGAAATGTTAGAAGGGGAACTTGAAACATGAATGGAAACCCATCTGGATGACAAGTTGCCCAAGCATGCGGAAGCTCCGTGGCAAACAAGACAACCTACAGCTGACCTGCAGATCCCTCCCAGACAATTGACATGTTTCCATTTGGAGGTGAGACGTGACAATGCGGTGCCAAGCACAAGCCTTTGTCTCCTGTCTATTCCTGTGCTTTAGGCACTGCAGGAGCTTCACCACAAATTCAGACGCGCACATCTGCAGAATTTGGGACTCGTCCTTCAGAGATCCGCTCTTCAGAGTTTTTACCTGGGCTGGCAGCATCATCTTAGAGGCCATGGGTCTGCAAAGGTCTCTGGACTTGCTTTGCGCTATTTCAGGCTCTTGCATCAGAAGGAGGAGTGGCTTGTGCTGAGATCATCATGTGCAAACTTTCAGCTGAGAATCCGCAGTGTTCCCATCTCTCATCACGACACCGAAGTTACCATGACCCAATAGCTTCGGTTCAATCTCCTGCCCAGCTGGCTCCACAGTGGGCAAGCAAATAACATACCATATGCGAGCCTATTTGTTTTTTTGGCATTTTCGGTTGTGCCTGTGCCTCAACTTCGTTGTCGGGTTGACCGTGTGTTGACTTCATTTTGTTCGCGAGATCCCCAACTCAAATGAAACGATCGTAAAGCCAACATTGTGCACTAGAACCAAACTGCCAAATCCAAACACTCTTTCGGTTAAACCACAAATGCGAAAGGAAAAAAACAAGACTATTTAGCAAAAACCATCTTTGCTGTGCGTGTCGCGCGTGCATGTGGGACAAAAGGCGCCAAGTTTTGGCACCGACTGGCAAGCGATCATCCAAAGTACGGGTGACACATGTCTGCAATTGAGAAGGTTCATGTCTCACTGACGCAGGCTATTGAAAACACTAAAGCGGTCCTCTTCCTCCTGGGCTACGTCAGCAGTCTCAGCACTTTCCACGTCAGTGGCCTGCACCAAATGCCCATCTCAGTCTGGAAATCCACCAGTTAAGGATGGCTGTTGGTTTGTAGCTCGTTTGCAGTGGTTCGGACTGGCTCACCCGGTATCAATGCCCCATACCTCAATACATTGAGCATCACCTGCTGTACTTATGCAGAGAACCCATGCCAAACAAGTGCATTCTTCTGAGCCTACCCGTGTTGCCAGCACTTTTGGTGGAATGCATTCATGTGCACCATGCAACTGCAAAACACTTGTGAAATGTTTCAATGCAAAAACCACATGAAATCAAATCTCATCAAAGTAGATCAACAAAAGCTCA